TGATAATGAGAGGCTTCGAAGGGCAAAGAGCAGTAAATACGTCGAAATGATGCATGGCATAACTAATAATTTATTCAAATTTATTTTAAATTTTAAAATTTAAATATGTTTAACGGTTTGGATGAAGCCATACGTTCGAAATTGTATATGTTGTAAATCAATTTACTTGCATATTTACTCTAACACCCTACAAACGGTATTGCCAGTTACTATTGAAAACGAAGGTATATTTTTTTGTATTGATTATAAGTTTAAACAAAAAAATCTTGATATATAAATTATACTAAATTTATTGTAATTTTTTTTAATAAAATCAACACATTGACAACTGAGAAATCCATTAAGTTGTCGCTTCGGAGTTGTCATTGTCTTTGACTTTAATCACAACTGCAGGCGATTATTTCACTTTTGGATGGAGTCATTGATAAACATAATTGAGTAGCGCTGAGCACTTATTCCGGCCAACAGGGCGTATGCGTGATATTGTTTGTTTTATTGTATTTTTTGTAATGAATTTGCATACTTGAAGAAATAAAAACAAGTTGTACCAAGCCTCTACCTCTACAGCATACGGTTTTACTAAACAAATTTCCTCAATTAATATTTAGTTAACCGGTAAGCTAATTATCGAAACAATATGAGAAAAAAATTTTTTAATTTATTTTTAATATTCATATTATGTATTGAATGATTTTTATGACATATAAGTTGCTTATAGGCAAAATAAAAAAAACTCAGTAGTTATTTTTTTCTTTTGGTGTTAAAAATCCATTATAAAACGTATAAGCAATTTTTGTTAAATAAAAATCATTAACTTCAATTCCCGCAATACGCATTTGTGTCCTTGCGCACTGTTAACCAGAACAATCTAACGTGATGTCTAAAAATTTCACCTTCTTTATATATCACCGATCGAGGACTAGGTAAGCTACAAAAGCAAAAGCAGAGATGTATTTATTACAGATAAAATGATACCTTTTAATAGTGATTTTTATCTAATATATGTACCTTCTGCTCAAAAAGTTCTCGGATTTTGTAAATAAAACACACAAATTTAAATTTTATTCCAAATTTATTTTATCTACTTCAAAATATGCTCCTTCTGAAGCTATACACATATGCCAACGCTTAACCCAATCTTCCATACACGAAGGTATGGCTTTTAGTTCCGTCATCGAATTCTCTTTTACCGCTTCAATCGACTCAAAACGCTTACCACGAAAGGGCAATTTGAGTTTCGAGAAGAGGAAAAAGTCACATGGATCCAGATTTGGCAAATATGGTGCTTGAGCGATGACAGTAGTGCCATGTTTGGTCAAAAAACGCGTACAACAAGAATTTTCCATAGTAAAAATCGCGAAATGCACTTGAGGTAGTCTCACATTAACAGCTGCTGTAAACAAACTAATTGACAGATGGAGCTCAAATTTGTACCATATGTCAAGAAAGGGTGTACCAACATAACAAAAAAAATTTTTGAAAAAAGTCTATTACTTAAGGAGTAGTTTACAAACAACAAGATCCCGATACTTTTTGAGCAGAAAAGATTATGACATTTATTGATACATTATTCCATTTATTGGTAAAGTAAAATTATAATTCAAAATACAAAATAATAAACCAAAATTTAATTAAATTTACGAAATTCAAGTAATCGACCGCAACCGCACTACTTCTATAGTACTAATTTACGACTGCCTGTTTCATCTCGTTCCTTCTTACATTACTTCTATCACTGGCGTTACCACCTGTTTACCTTTCACTTCAACCACTGGCGTTACCAACTGATTACATATATGCAGCAGTGACAAGTATAAACACTTGAAAAGTTAGAAAGCATGGGTCTCAGATTAACATCTATGATCATTTCGTTTCTCTTAATATAACCAAATATTTCATCTAATCTAAATGAATAAAGTTATTACAGAAATATACCGAAAAATGTAAGCAGACTATTTATTATTAAGGACAAAAAAAGTCTAATATACAGTACAATTTGACACTTAACGACATCTATAGATCATAGGTCATTACATACGATCGACATATCTTCCATTACAGAGGGAATTTTTTTAGAAGTTTGATTTTTCTAAATATAATGAATCATTCAAATCATCTATAAAAATATATTTAATAAGAATATAAATAGAAGAAAAAGTATGATGTTTAAGACCGTGTGCGAGTTCGAGTAAATTGAGGTAAAGTAAATTGAAATTTCCTAGGGATTTTTTTCACTGCACTTGTATAAATATTTATTTATTGTACTTATTTATTATTTTTGGTTTAAAATTTTCAAATTTATTTATTTATTTATTAAACATCTTATAAAATGTTTACAATGTTAACACCTAATTTACCTAATTTTTATCTAATTTACCCTACTCAAAATTTTGATAAATACTAACATTCGCTGCCATACCGATATAATTTACTATTTCTCTCAATTTAACATCAATTTACTCGAATTCGCACAAGGCCTAAATGTGATTTCGGGTATTAGAGCGGCGGAACTAATTTTATTGAAACAGAAAAATGAAAATCCAATCTTGTTAGCTTTCAATTTTTGGTTTATATGAGTAAATCATTGAATGTACCTATCAATATAGAGATAATTCGGGAAAATGAATTAAAACATTTTTTGGTTTATATGAGTAGATCATTTAGAGGTAATTTATATAGAAATAATTCAGTAAGATGAGAATACACTATTTACGGCCAACCCACAAATTCTTTTTGTGCATAGATTGGAATTGGATAATAGATTAGAGAATGGAATTTTCTACAATTACCTAATTATTTCATCCACTATTTAATATAGGACACCGTCATGTTGCAGTATAAATTATACCGCTTGTGGCGCTCTCTATCGCCATAATGTTTTGACCGGCCATATCTAAAAAAAAATACCGACTAATGATTCCGTGAAAAAGCATAACAAAATCTATCCATGTTAAAAGGAACTGTATATAATTTAACTGTCAATAGTCTAAATGGCTATCACTAGAAACAACGTAACATAGCTACAAAAAATTAAACCAGAAAAAAAATACTCTTTAGAGTGATATTTATAAAAACATCATATGGATACCTAATTACCAACGACTTCAAAGATATTTATCTTTTGTGTGAAGTCTTGAAGGCGGATTTTTTGCTCTCGTATTATGTCATAGCGTATTTCAAACGTTTTTATTAGTCATTTCATAATATCACATAAAATATATCAGCGTTCGATTATTACTTTAAGCTCAGATAAATTTATCGAATATATTATTAGTATTATATAAATATGATTATACTTATTATTATTAAGTTGGGATTTAGAGTTTTAATGAGCCCGTTTCATGGTTTCAAAGTTTTTTCTAAAGTTCGATTACCTCGATCAATTGAAGTTACTATAAGAAATCTTATTTTTCCTTTTAAGAAGTAAAAAGAAGAAGAATTATTTCTAAGACCACTGATGATGGGTATTTGGCAATACTCGAAACACCTGTATGGTCAGCCAAAAATTCAATTAATTAAAATAATATAAAAAATAAAATTTTTGTTGTTGTAGTTCACTACTGTTCGAAAAAGATCTCTTTATGAAGTATTTTATCCGATATAAGATGAGTATGATATGTTATCTCTTTAGAAGTTTTCAACGTGTATTTGATATTGTAAATTGAAACAAAGTTACAAGTTCTAGTGTTCTATCACATCAGAAAATATCATTGTAAAACTAATAATGCAGGATGAAAACTAATCAATTTTGTATAGTATTTAATTTTCTTATATATAATGTCTCAGAAATTAATAAATATTCTGTACACTCATTAGTGACACCAATCAATCATACCAATAATACAAGCCACAACCTTAAATATGTTCTCCACTCAACCTAACAAAAGAGGACATATTATGATTGTGACTTGTCTACCGGTTAAACGTGTAGGCTGAAATAAGCCTACACGTTTTTAAGCTGAAAATTATTATTATTATTTCCATAGTCCATTAGGAGCTTAAGGAGTCTACAAAAGTATTCCACTGGTTTCTATTTTGTGCTATTGCTTTCAACTCGTTAAACGATTTGCCCGTCTTCTGCTGAACTATCCTTCTCCAGGTCATTGCTGGTCTGCCTCTGCGCCTAGTACCCTGGGGGTTCCAAGTAAGTGCAGCATGCGCGATATCTTCATAAGGTTTACGCAGTGGGTGGATACACTTCTTTCTTCTTATCTCGTTGTTTACATTTGTTTGATGCGTTATTCTCAATAACTCTTCATTTCAAATTGTTTTAGGCCACCATATACCATAGCTTGCGCAAGCTATGAATACTCTCTTATAAATATTTTAATCTCTATTTTATATGAGTATGAGTAATGTAATACATGTGCGCTTCTCTTTGGTGACATTTCTAGTCGGCGATTTTATTATTCTGTTAAAATGATCGGCTTAATAAAAGTAATTATCTTATTTACTTTATAAGATAGATAAGAGTTTGATAAGAGAGTTTGATATCATGAAAATCGTATGCCACACATTTTCTTACGATTCGCGAATTAGTATATGTGCTACATATGTTAACATTATTAACCATCGCTGTTAATAATGTTCAAAAGGATCTTTAAAAGATCTTTAAAAGATCTTTGCTTTGTTGATAAAAAAACTATGTTGCGTTAAATGGAAGACAATATATATCGATTGTGAAGGTCCCATTCTTTAACAAGAGTTGAGAACGTAAAAAGTATGTAAGTAATATTTGTCAACATTATTTTACAAATTTTAAGAAAACGATATGACTGATCTTATTTAATTAAGATATATATGAATTCTCTATAATTCTGTATACCATTATCTTCAACTTCGATTTAAGTTCTATTAGAATTCAGTTCAAGTTCTTAAAACAAGACATTTGCTCGCTAATTGCTAAATATTTAATTTTATGTTTTTAATCACTTTAATAAATAAATAACCTAATAAAGAATAATATGTATATATAATAAAATAAATATTTTTTCACTTACCTTAAGTGAATTTGATATTTTCCCAGCTCTGGCAATCGCTGTGCCAAATGTTGAAGGTGCTATGGCTATGGTATCGGCTTCTGGTATCACAAAATTACAAAACACAAAGGCCAGCACAGAAAATAAAGTCCAAAATCTTTTACGTATCATTTTGTATATAATATTTTAAGTAAATTTTAAAACAATCCGATATAACAAAGTAAAGTGTTTGTTCTGCTTTTCTTATTACTTTTAGTTACTATTTAAACAGATATTTAAACTTATCTTTGCACTTAAACACTTTAAACACACATATGCAAAAATCAAAAAATTGCTTTAAAATATTAAAAAAAAAAAATCAAAAATAAATAAATAATAAAAAAAATTATTAAAAACAAATTTTGCTTTTTCTTAAACCTTTTTTAGTTGCACTTGGTCATGGTCAAAATAAATGAAAACATTTAAAAACGCCCCAGAATTGAATGTCAACTGCTTTTAATTAAATTATACGATCCGCAGAAGACTTCACAATGCCTGACAAGTCCAAATCTTAGAAAAAATATAAAAGTAATAAAATGCCACTGTCTTCATAGCGTGCAAGTCGTTACTTCTGACTTCAAAATTAGTTTCACTTACTCACTTACTCACATACTAACATACTAAGTACTACGGACTACGTAGTAAATTGGTAAAAATTACTCAATTAGTTGCTATTATTTTTACATTTGTAAATTTTAAAACAAAATACATTTTTTTTTGTTTAATGAACTGCTCTACATACGAACAATTCAATTTTGTTTATAACAATAAAAGACTATGCCTAAGTTAAGGTCAGTCAGACTAAGTTACAGACTAATAGATAAAGGGCACAAGCAGACAATAAATTGGCAGTAAAAAGATGCTTAAGCCGTTAAAACAAAGGCTGGAAAATGCAAATTAAATAAAAAAAAGGTACTTAGAATTTTTATTATAATCGTAAATTGAATCTAAAAAAAGCCAAGTTTATAGATTGCCACATAAAGTTAACTAATTTGCTTATAATAATGCTACTCTTGTAGTGGAGGCCAGATTTCTTCAGTTGAAATAACTTTACATATGAATTTTAAATATGTGGCTTTTATAAAAACATTAGCTTTTAATATAAACTACATATACGAATTTCATAAGAATATAATTATATTAAATTTAGTGTATAAATTATTGTATGATAAAATAATTAAATTACTTTTTTATACCTTTACCATGAAGAACACAAAAGACTTAAGCAGCAAACTTGATAAAGTCAACAGAAGTTAGAAGTCAGAAGAGAACTCATCTTTGGTGAAACAAGGGTTTCATCAAAAATTCTTGTTTTAAAGGCAGAAATTTAAAGACATTAAATTGATTTTTACCTTAAAAAAATTATTAGAACTTAAAAAAACTTTTTTTGATTTTTAATAATTTATTGTCTTAAAGATCAGATTTTATTCATATATATTTTTTAATAACTTAAATGTATTGTACACTTGTACATGTATTATAACCTTTTAGGTATATAATTTTAAATTCAAGAAAAGCACCTGGTTTTCTGAAAATACATATATAAATTGATTTGATTGTTTTAAACATTTGGTTTTTTTAAATTGCAGTTTTTTTGTTTCACATTAAACATAAATATAATCATATGGAAAAGTAAAATATACTTAATAAAAATTATTTAATTGAATATAATATAATAAATTCAATTAAATATATTACTTTTATATATATGTATATGGTCGGGTCTCATTGTGTGAAAGAAATCACCTGAATGCGTTGTGGTAATTTAAAAATAGCCACAACGCGTAATTACTGTTATAGTACTTGTAAAAATAGCTAGAAGAATTTGTGGATCAGACGAAACGACCATGAAATGAAATTTAAACCTAATATTTATATATTAATTTACTTTAATATGTTAATACATTACAGTAGAAAAAGACGTTAGTGAAAACAATTGACAAAAAATGTGAACGAAGTTATGGGAGAAGTCAGTGATTTTCTTAGATATGTAGATAGTTTAGTGAAGAAAGTATTGTACCATTCAGAATTGTGACACGAAATTAACGATTGGTGCTTTCTTCTACTACAATTATACTATTATTGTTAGTATAAAAAATATATATACAGTGACCATAGGAAAAGAATGATGAATTTTTTTTATATAGTACAAAGAAATAAATAAACCTAACACTCTCCAAGAGTAGACTACATTTCAATAATCCTTTAATTGAAGTTTATTAGATGACTTTGAATAATATGGTTTTATAAATATCAGATTTATCATTAGAAGGAAATAATATGGAATTCTGCCAAAATAATAGTGAAAATCGGAATATTTTTTTAAACTTCAAACCTAAATGAAGCATCATCCTTAAATAAAAAACAATGAAAATTGAAACATTTTTTAAACTTCAAACGTATATCGAGTATTATCCCTAAAGAAAGTTTATGTACTATTTTCTAAAGATTCGGTCTATTTATATAGCAGGTTCTTTGGCCTATTTTGGGTACAGTTTAGCCATTTTAGTTAGTTATCATGCTATCGTTTACATTTAGATATTCTTCCTTGTTTCCTATTTTAAAATTTATTTTTTTATTCCAGATAATTGTATAATACTACATATTGTTATATAGTCTATATCGTTCGTGTTGTCTGCATCGTTATATTGTTCATCGTCTTGAGAAATGATTTGATATAACAAATTAGATTTATGCGCGGTCAGACTGTTTTAAATAAAACACTTTAAAATAAAAATTAACATAAATATTCACGTCATTTTACGTTATTTCGTTATCATTAGTAATTATTTTTATAAAAAATAATATTAAAGAGGTGTTTTCAAACATTAGTGAACTAAAACAACAAAAATTCATTTGATATTATTTTAATTAATTGAATTTTTGGCTGAACATACAGCTGTTTCGAGTATTGCCAAATACCCTTCATCAGTGGTCTTGAAAATAATTCTTGTATTTAATTATTCGGTAATAACTTTTTTTTTTGAGACTGCAAGTACTAGGAATCGAACTCATGTCCTGCCAAATTTGAAGCCCAAAATCAGTGCTTCTTAATCAACTAACTCAAAGCCGTACTTGTCTTTTATGTTCGCACATTTTTCTGGAGTTTTGTAAATTTTGATATGAAAGTTTTTATTAATAAATTCTCTTGCTGTGTTTATATTAGATCGAAGTCATAAACCAGCTCTAGAATAATTGAATTAATTAATTATATTTTTAATTTTAATTGTTTTAATTTAATTCTGTTTGTAAATAATATTTATATTTTTAAAGAAATAAGTACGTTGCTAAATGAAGTTGCTTAATGAAAAACAAAATATTTAGATTCATTTCTAATCGCAAGGGTTTTATTTACAGCAGTTCAAATCTGACAGTCGATCTAATTTGTTATATGATATCAAAATTCCATGTTTGTATAATTTTTTTTTTTTGGATCATTGTATACATACAACGAAAAACATTTGAATCAACAATTTATTTATTTACCAATTGGTTTCTGAACACTCTACAACAACTACCGATTTTTCTAACAATATATATTCTTCATCTTATTTGGCACTACAGTCCAGTGTGAACCTTGGCCTCCCTCACGATCTGCCTCCATCTGTCCCTATCTTCTGCTACTCTCTTCCACTTCAGTACTCCTATCGTTCTCACATCACCATACACGTTCTCATCTTATTTCATCCCATTCCACTCGTTTTTAGTTCTATTAGCTCAGAAATAGAAACCCTACTTCTTTGGTATATTCGGTTTCAGTGTCTTTTATTCCAACTGTGCTAGATCAATTTGTTGTTCTTATGGATTATTATTTGTTGTTCTTTGTTGTTCTATGGATTATTACTTTATCCCATATAGCATTAGTTTGATTTGCTTGCTTAATTTTTAAAAAATGTATTTTAAATTAGTTCATGTTTTATAATTAAAGCAACTATATAAATATATTGCTTACATATAAACAATTATATTTATTTAAAAAAAAATTTAAATAACTGAAAAAGACAATTAAGGTTGTTTTTCCATTCATTTGAATAATTTTTATATACAATATAATAGTTTTTTTGTTTAAAACAAAAATATTTATTTATATAGGTGATATTTATTATTTTAGACTATTTAATCAACTGTTTCGTTCGCTTTCTAAATTTGATTTTTCATGTTTATTAATTATAAGTCATAGCGATAAAAATCAAATATCGAATATGTTATCTCTAAAAAGACAGACTTTCTTTTGATTTCAATTTTTTATCTTTTAATTTCATCCATATAAAAATGAAAGTATATCCCCCAAATCAAAAGATAAATAAAAATTTGCTAAACAAATATTAAAAATATGTTTTTCTTTCTCTTCGAAAATTAAATGAAATTTTTGCAAAAATTATTTAATTAAATAATGCATTTCACCTTTGCTTAAACGAGAGCAATTTCAGTCGAACAAAAGATTGTGGTGACTCCCACAATTAAACGCTTTTTAATCGCTCAATAGTTTTTGAACAAAGACAAAATAAATACAAAATCGGCAGCGTTCAACCACAGCGCGTTTCAGCTGCTTAACCCGTTTCATCCGTTTTATTTGCGTCGTTTTATTTCATGTTTGTCAAAAAATTTCTTCGTGCCGTTAAGCCAGTAACCCACTTCCTATATTGACGTTAATTTAATTTGCGCCCTCTCGCACCGCCGCCAACTCTGCTAACGAGGCTGCATGCAGGTGTGTACGCGATATTGAAGCTGATTTACACGACATCAGTCAAAATTGAACAACGCGTCGGTTAACACAATGAATGCCATGGAAGCACTTGCACTTTCAACGAAAGTTGTCCAATGCGTCACACGATAAGCACTAGAGTCGTCGCCCACAGCGACTTTGTCCGGCTTAAGAGACTTAAAGTGCTACACTTGCGTTTTCTACTTTATCTCTTATGTCTCCATTCACATTTTCTTATAATCGTAAAAGCATTTTTCTATTATACCGGGGGGTATGTTCAGTGTTGTGCATTTACTGATTTTAATGTTTATAAAATTTGTTATATTTATTATTTTTAATAAAAATGAAGACTGTTACATTCATTATTGTCATAATGAAAATAAATCGCCTACAGCATCTATAAACTTAGTGCCGATTACTTGATTACTAACATCTACTAATTCTACTAATAAGTAGACATTAAATATTATTAGTGATATTCATAAATTCGAGTAATATGGCATTTACACTGGCCTCAAATGGCTTAATTTGGTCAAAAATCAAAAATGAGAAGCAAATGACTCATTTTTGCATACAATGAGGTCCATTAG